AAAGAAAGTTGCATATTCTAAGTTTCATCTGCTAATAAATATTTAAACTAGCTATATTGCATTGAGTAAATCAGATAGTCAACTATTTTATCATTAACGTAAGTAGAGACTGTTCAAAATGACTACAGACAAACAACTGATAGTGACTCAACCCGCTGCTAATTTAACCGCAGATACTCCTGGGACACAGGCTGAAGGGCCACGGATTTGTAAGGAAGACATAACACGACCGGGCAGATAATGATAATGTGGGTAACCTGTCATTTGAGCACATACCAGGAACTTTTATACATAATTTGTGATCCTCACCATAATCCTACACATTAGATACGTTCTCCACTTTAGAACCAAGGAAAGTGAGGCTCAGTGATTTGAAAGAACTTGCTCAAGGTTGGTAGGTCACACGATGGTAACTGAATAAGTTGGGATTTTAATCAACAGTTGCCAGATGCCACAGCCAATGTGCTTTCCGTTCTTCCTGTGCAGACCAAGACTAGCCTTAAAGGAGTCAAGGCAAAATATGGCTTCCAAGGGATAAGGGCAAAAAGAAAAATACATAGTAATTAATGATCTATAAGAAAGTCTTTACAACAAACAGTTATATTGTCTCATTTCCTTTATAATATTTCAGCATAAATAACTATATGTGTGTATGTTTGTACATATGGGAGTATGTGTGTATATACACAAACCCATACATTTACACATATGCGTATATACACATACCCATACATTTACACATATGCAGGCACTCCAGGGTTAAAATAAAATTTCAGACCCCAATCCAAAAGTTACTATAAGCACATTCCAACCATCGCTATCTCAATTTGCACAAAAAGTTCGTTAACTGGCATTAAGAGATATAAGGGAAAAATTTTCACAGGTTAAAAGAATAATAGCCAAGATATGCCAATTGTTTAAAGTGTTAGAGGCAGACATGTTATAATCAGAAACCAAAATATTGGGAGCCAGTTGTGCTTCAGAATTAAAACTGTCTTGTACATTAGGAAACTATTATGAATGTATCTCTATGACATATTACTCCCAAGTAGGGTCTGAGGCAGCAAACACACTGCCATTTCTGCAGTTAGGAACAAGGCTATTCACACCGAGCAGGACAAATAAAGACTATAATAAAGAGCCTCATGTCAAGTCAAAGCTTTCTGTTATCACAGCATATTGGATTTTGGCACTGCAGATAAGGGATTGTCAGCCTGTACCTATGAATGGCCAAATTACTCAGGCCAATTGCAATTCGCACAAAACATTTCCTTTGAAAGCTGATATTAAACGTCACACATTATACTGTAAAAACAGCACGGCCATGGGTAAGTACAATAACCCTTCACCCCTCCAGAATTTGGCTGCCAATAACATATATTCATAATAGAGTGAGGAGATAACAGGTGAGCCATGGTCTGAGGCCTCTCAGCAGCCATTCCAGAGGACGCGGTGGCCACACACTGCAGAGTGTTACACTATTCATTGCAGAGGCCCCCTATCTTTAATCAGATCTGGCTTCTAAACTCAACACAGACAAGAACCAGTAAGTGGAATCGTTAGACCGATCCAAGAGGTGGGTAGACAGAGCAGTCACCAGGGATAGCTGACATGCTGATGAGCAAAGAAGGAAAAATAAAACTATTTGCAAAGAAGGTTAACCCTACCAGACCGCTGTACCGATTTTTCGGTAATTTCTAATCATATCTTATCTAATCATATCTGTATTGTGTGCATGGAAAAGCACTCCTATTTTCTACAATGTCTCCAAGTTCCATCTTATTCTAACCACTTGTTTGCATGTAACTAACATTTTTCTGTATCATGTTGGTTTTTTCTCTTTAATGCTCAGGAGCCCAGGTATAGGGGACAGTTAGATTCAGGGCCTCAGGTCTGGTAGGTTAAGAGCCTGAGCGCACAGACAAAAAGGCTTGGATTCCAATCCCAGCTCTGCCCGTCGGAGCGGCGTGGACCGTGGGTATTGCTTAGCTTCTCTCTGCTTCAGTTTGTTCTTCAGTGTAGTGCTGATGAAAATGCTGCCTGTCTCCCAAGGTGGTTGTGAGGATTAAATGAACTAGTGCATGTGAAGAGCTGAGCACAGGGCCTGACAATGAGAAGATACCCAATAAAATGTACACACTGAAAATACAGCGCAAAATCTCACAAAGCGTAGCAGCCAGCCTCTACATTTACCACCAATTCGGCAGATGCAGAGCGTGATCATGATTTAGTATAGAAATATATCATCTTGGTTATGCTGTGTGACTTTGAACATGTCATTTAAACTTCTCTGAGCCTGAGAGCATTTGATTAGACCAGGCATTCTTAACTGAGCTGACAGTGGGTCTTCGGCAGGGTGGGGTGGGGGAGGGGAGTGGCACAAAATTTACTCTTTTCATGTACAAAGCGCAACTATAAAGAACAGAAACAGATACACAGTATACCCATGGTATTAAAACTTCATGGGGGCAGGGATCTCAAAAGGCTTCTTAGGGGGTCGATAACGTAAAAAACGGTTGAGAAAACACTGGTTTAAATGAAACATAAGGTTGTGTGCAGTTCTTAAAGTTCCTTAATTCTGTCTTCACAACAATAATGCCAAGAATTCAAAAATGTTTAATATGCGTTCACATACTTTGTTTAAGAAGGAAAGATTTTTATGTTCTAGGAAATTCTCCAATTAAAAAGTTAAAAATTGTAAATATCTTTGTGTTTAAAAGAAGAAATCCTCTTAATACTTAGAAATCCCAATTGTCACTCACGAAGGGACCCTGTGAGTCGCAGTTTTGTTGTATTTTCCCCGCTTTCCAGGTAACAGTATACACAAATCATTCTAAGTATTAATATATTTAACTGTTTCCCCAAAAAAATGGAAAATGAAAATAGAATAGGGACAACTACTGTAACTGTATAAAATTGGAACACTGTGGCTGTCTTAGCTATGATAAATGAAAGATCAACTTGGAATATAATTCATTTTTAATTGCCTCTTCCATCTAATCTAACTACTGATGTAGTCTGTCTTAAAATATTTACAAAGTACAAGCAAAAAAAGAATTGGAGGTGCTAAAATAAAGCAGGCCACACATTCCTACATGATCAATTTTTCTCGTATTGTTTACAAATTGTTTACAAAAACAAAGTCGTAAGTCTTACACATGATTTTTGGAAACAGATAAAATATGATTAAGGACCATCTCTCTTAATGTTGAACTGTTTTTTTAATCGGGGTGTAACTGACACACAACATTGTATTAGTTTTGGTATACAACATAATGATTTGATATACGTGTACTTTGCAAAGTGATTAGCACAGTAAATCCAGTTAACATACATCACTACAGTTACAATGTTTTCCCTGTAATGAGAAGTTTTAGGATCTACCCTCTTAGCAACTTTCAAATATACAATACAGTACTGTTAATTATAGTCAGTTGCTATGCTATATGTTACAGCCCCAGAACTTGTTTATCTTTTAACTGTAAGTTTGTACCTTAAAGCTATTTTTATTTTTTTAATTAACTTATTTTTTTCAATGACAGTTAATATTCAATATTATTTTATATTAGTTTCAGGTATACAGCATAGTTGGTTAGACATATAACTTGCGAAGGGATCCCCTGGTAAGTCTAGTACCCATCTGACACCATACACAGTTGTTACGATATTATTGACTATCTTCCCTGTGCTGTATCTTACATCCCATAACTATTTTGTAACTGCCAATTTGTACTTCTTCCCTTCATCTTGTTCACCCAGACTCCCACCCCTCCAAAGCTGTTTTTAAGTCACCCTCTTCCCTGCTTTAGTTTTGGGATACTTACTATATAATATACCCTAATAATCTCTTACGACAAAAGAAAACAGTTCTATAAAATGTTAGGAAGAAACTAACATTTGATAAGCTATCAGTATGATAGCTATGATCTGCTTTACCGGCTTATGAAGTTTAGTATATGCTACCCATCTTACTTCCTCCAGAATTCTAGGGTTTTCTAGCATCATACTCATGCTCATATTCTGCCCTCAAGCTTTTTTTGAGTTTTCCGAAAATCCACTTCAGAAATTCTAACTAAAAATGACATTCTAAAAACGTATAAAACGCTAACATGTCAAACTGTTATTAAATGCTCGGCCATACTTTATTACCAGTAATATACATCATAAAGTGTTCTAACATTATCCATTTTATTCATTGCAAAATAAATGTGTTTTGATATCTCTGCTTGCTTTCAGGCAGTTGCATTTGAATATATCAAGATGCGTGTGAAGCCATAATTTCCCTTCGACACAGGCACTCGCAGCACCAGGCAGGAAGTAAACACATTTTTACTGATGATGAATATAAATATGCCATCTTAAAGAGATGCTAACCACTGTTTATTGGTCCTCAAATCCTAGGTGTTCAAGTGACAGAAAAATCTCTCTTATAAATATATATGCTATTTTAGACTATATCAAATTATACTGACTAAACAGAGTAATGATAAGAAAAGATAATAAATTAGTTAAAGCCCTAAAGAGGCAGAGCATATTTCAGAAGTCTCGTGTTGGATCATGTGTTCTTAGGCTCAACTGAGGATGTACCGGCCAAATAGCACACTATTTTAATTACATTAAAGATAACAGGAACCTAATGCAGCTATAAATACTCAAGTGCTTCTTACCATCAGAGTACTACAAGATGTACTCTAGGTGCTTCTTACCATCAGAGTACTACAAGATATACTCTAGGTAATACCCAAGAGAGTGGGAGGAATCACACATAAATGACCACTGGCAAGGTTTAGACTTCTTCAAGGTAAAATTAAAGTAGATAATGTATAAATATACATTCTGTGTAAGTATGATAATACTAACTCAGTACAGTATAAAAATAGAAACAATAATAAAATGTACTTCTAGTCGTCACATATTTTAGCATGTTTCCATGAGAAAGCCAAAGCAATCAAATTCTTAACTGCACAGCATACATTCACCTGTCAGGGCCTTGGCGTTACCTTTGTTTGAGATTGATCCATGATGTTTTTAAATACTCGGTGGTTTCTTTCACATTCCTCGTGTCATCATTACCATATTCCTCCAGCAGCTTCTGCAGGACATTATCAAACGCCATTACGATACCATCTCCAGGGCCCAGTTCTTGAAGCAGTATCTAAGGTGTAATTTAGGTGTAATTGTCAGACTTCGTCACTCAGTATTACCAAGACGTAGCTTTTACCATATTTTAGACACAGATATCAAAAGAAGAAACATTATTGGACAAACTCTTGCATGTAAGCTTAAACCAAAACAATTATAGAAGTGAAAAAGAAAAATGTATAAGAAAGTAACCAGGTATATGGGAGATGACATTTAAAAAACTACTATCTTTTCCTCTTTCAGATATTTTAGTTCCTTCAACCATTTGTCCTTTTTCATTCCTTCTGCTATACATCTGATCCACATATTAACATGCATTGTATAGGAATGAATTTACTGTAGAGTTCCCCAGTAAGTACCAACAATACAGAAATCTTCTCTCTTGCCCCTGGATCTGTGGATGTTTACAAAGTGAACTGCTTGAGCGGATCAAGCAGCAAGCAAGGTTCACGGACAGTTGCTTGAATAGCTAAACTTATGCTGAGTATGTCCATTGGCATTGGTTTCGTGACACACGTTTTGAATCACTGAGAGCTCTGGATCTACATACTCCCCATTAAATCTAAATTACAAATGAACACTCCTATAGTGTTGTGTAGCAATTGACAGAAAAATCCACCCTAAAGTTTCAGAAGAAAATAACAATACTGTTAACTAGAAAAGAATATTCTGAATACGAGGATTGAATCATTGATGTCACTTTTTAATTGTATTCCTTTAGTTAAGTGTCAGGGGCTTTCCCGATTACTACTTTTGAATCATATGGTAAAAACAATCAACAGATATAAACACAGAGAATGATTGAGGAAGTCAGGACACCTGGCCACTTGCTTTTTAAACTGTAACCATGGAAAGTCTATATGTGTGAAGAACAAAAATATACTTTCATGTTTTAGATGTTGATTCCCAAGTATTCATTATTATATTGTTCACAAATGTACACTTTCATCACAGGCCATCAGAAGGGCAAAAAAATGTCACTCCAAAATATTACTAATAACCATAGCCTCTAATGCAAGAATATTTTCTGTGATTATAGAATTTAAAATACCAATTTAAAAACACCATACATGTTTAGTATCATCAACTCTATAATCAAATTGATCACAAAAAAGGTACCTAATCTGATGATATTGATGAAACAGTTTGGTTATGAATGTAGTCAAAGAAGCTGAACTTACATATTACCTGATTTGTTCACCACAGTGGCCCGCAAATTAAAAGCTCAGAAGATTTCATAAACAAAAATAACCTTTAGGGTCAAGATGAAGGGAGCAAAAGGAGGGTTCCTGGGATTCTGAAAATGTTCTTTTTCTAGGTGCTGGTTTGTGGGCATGTTCCATTTGCAAAGAGTCAGTGACCTGTAAACCTAAGATATGTGTACATTTCTATTTGTTATACCTCCAGAAATGTTTCAGAAACCTTCATGGTCAAATTCTTTATATAAATGTCAATATATATGACAAGAGTCCAAAAAAGCACAGTGAACAGGACAAAAAAGTACATCCAACAAATAGATACTGCCAAAAAACATCCAGTGATTCTTACTTGATTATCAGAAATCTGTTTGATGAGTGGATCCCTTCGGGCTTGTTGCAGAATATACAGGCGAGCCTCATATTTTCTCATAAGTTCTTCAGTCTCTTCCCTGTGGTCATCCCACTGAAGACTATCAATAACCATGTCCTCCAGCTGTTGCTGCCGGACCTCGACGCCATGCTGAGTGTTATCCCACTGGTTCTTGACCTTTTCCACTGGAGGGGGCATTATTTTTAAAAAAAAATTAAAATATTTTTTTAAATCCCATTAAGTAACTATTAGGAAAGAAAAAAATACCTGATACCAAGTTTATTACAAATAAAGCTATCAATACAAAAGAGAAAGGAAGCAAGTTACTACATAAACTGTAAAGGAATTTTAACACGTCAGCCATACTAGATACAATTGATATATTTCTGAACCCATTCTTGAAGAAAAATTCTTGGATTAAACTCTATTTTAAATGCACTAAACTGTCTCATGATAAAAATATCCACTATTATAAATTGATAGAGCAAAAAAAAAATAAGGAAAACAATTTCTTATCTAAGTTTATATTTACAGAAACTGGTTTGATGAAGGTAGAGTTTAATAGTACTTTATGATAGGACTTTAAGGCATATACAGTCACCTGCCATCCCCAGAACCAACACACCTGGTGGCCAGATTCAGACCATACCAGAGAACCACCCAATTAGCTCCACAAACGACACACCCAAGGGGTGGACTCAGCAAGCACCAGAGCCCAGCTAAAGGAAATCCTGCTCTTATTGGGTCAGCCCCCACAAAATAGCTCCTCCACTGTAGTCATGGACAGCTCTCACTGCCAGTCAGCCTCAAGGTCAATCCTACCCATTGATGTGCCAACAGCAAGCAAGGCTCAACTATAACAGGAGGGCACACACATCCCACACAAGGGACACCCCTAGAACACCTGTCTCAGGTGACCAGGAAGTATGCACCACTGGACCTTACAGGACACCTACTACATAAGGCCACCCTACCATGACTGGGATATGTAGCATATCTACATAATACATAGAAACAAACACAGGAAGGAAGACAAAATGAGGAAATAAAGAAACATATCCCAAATGAAAGGACATGACAGAACTCCAGAAAAAGAACTAAACAAAATGGAGGCAAGCAATCTACAGAGTTCAAAACACTGTTTATAAGGATGCTCAATAAACTTAGGAAAAGAATAGATGAACTCAGTGACAACTTACGCAAAGAGAGAGAAACCATAAAAAAGAACCAGTCCAAAATGAAGAATATACCGTATTTCCCCATGTATAAGACGTTCCCATGTATAAGATACACCTTAATTTGGGGGCCCGAAATTTGAAAAAAATGTATTACATAAAGTTACTGAACTCAAGTTTTATTCATCATAAAATTCATACAACTCCTCATCACTTGCAGGAAATACAAGTAAAAAAAAAATCTACAACCACTGTATAAGATGCACCCAGTTTTTAGACCCCAAATTTTTCAGAAAAAGGTGCATCTTATACATGGGGAAATACGGTAATAACTGAAATAAAGAATACAGTAGATTAGATGAAGCAGAGAATCAAATCAGCAATTTGGAAGACAAGATATGAGAAACCCCTATGGGAAGAACAAAAAGAATTGGGGGGGGATAGTTTAAGGGGCCTCTGGGACAATATCAAGCATAACAACATTCACATCATAGGGGTACCAGGAGGAGACAGAGCAAGGGATTGAAAACCTACTTGAAGAAATAATGACAGAAAACTTTCCTAACCTGGCAAAGGAAATAAACATACAAGTCTAGGAAGTAAACAGAGTCCCAAACAAGATAAATCCAAAGAGACCTACACAAAGACAAATTATAATTAAAATGCCAAAGGTTAGGGGCCGACCAAGTGGCTCAACTGGTTTAAAAGCTCGCTCAAGAGTGCGAGCTCTGAGCAACTGGGTCACAGGTTTGATTCCTGGTCCGAGCTGAGCTGCCGCTGAGCTGCCAATAAGCAAGATGGCTCAGCTAAAAAAAATTTAAAAAGACAGCTTTAAAATGGCAAAGGTTATAAACAAAGAGAGAATCTTAAAAGCAGCAAGAGAAAAGCAGTTAGTTACCCACAAGGGAGGTAAGACTGTCAGTTGATTTCTCAACAGAAACTTTGCACGTCAGAAGGGATTGTCACAAAATATTCAAAGTGATGAAAAGCAAGAACCTACAACCAAGATTACTCTACCCAGCAAGGCTATCATTTCTAATTAAAGGACAGATAAAGAACTGCCAAGACAAGAAAAAGCTAAACGAGTTAATCACCACCAAACCAGTATTACAAGGAATATTAAAAGGACTTCTTTAAGAAGAAGGAAAAAAATCAAAAAGATAAATAATAAAATGGCAATAATTAAAATCTGTCAATAATTACTTTAAATGTAATAGATTAAATATTCCAATCAAAAGACACAAGGTAGCTACACGGAGAAGAAAACAAGACCCTTACATATGCTGCCTAAAAGAGAGCCACTTCAGGTCAAAAGACACACAGAAACTTAGGGATAGAAAAAGATATTTCATGCAAATGAAAATGAAAAAAACAAAAAAGAAATCTGGGGTAGCAATAGTTATATCAGACAAAATAGACTTTAAAATAAAGGCAAAAAAATAGACTTCAAAACAAGAGACAAAGGGCCAGCTGAGTGGCTCAGTTGGTTAAGAGCTCGCTCAAGAGTGTGAGCTCTGAGCAATAGCGGTTCGATGCCGGCCCAAGCTGTTGGCAGGATGGCTCAGCTAAAAAAAAACAAATCAAGAGACAAAGAAGGATATTTCACATACAATGGCCAAGATAGGGAAGAAACCTAAGTGTCTAGTGACAGACAATTGGATAACGAAGATTGTGGTACATTATAAACATTGGAATATTATGCGGCCATAAAAAAAAGAATGAGACCTTGCCTTTTGCGACAACTTGAATGGACATAGAGGGTATTATGCTAAGTGGAATAAGTCAGACAGAGAAAGACAACTGCTATATGATTTAACTTATATGTGAAATCTAAAAAACAAAATAAATGAACAATCACAACAGAAACAAACCTATTGATACAGAGAACAAATTGGTAATTGCCAGATAAGACTGGGGTTAGGGGACTGGATGAAAAAAGTGAGGGGATTAAGAAGTGCAAATTGACAGTTACAAAATAGTCACAGTAACGTAAAGTACAGTATAGGGAATATAGTCAATAATACTGTAATAAATATTTATGGTGCCACGTGGGTACAAGACTCATCAGGAAAGATCACTTTGTAAGCTATATAAGTGTCTAATCACTATACTGTACACCTGAAACTAACATAATATTGAATGTCAACTGTAATTGAAAAAACAATTTTTAAAGATTTTAACTTCAGGAGAGAACAAATCTATCATAATGTTCTACTTGTCAGTTAAAATGTTACATAAAGGTCTTACAACCAATTATTACTAATAGAATCCTTAATATCAAACAAATAAAACTAAAATACATCAAGTGAAAGCAAATACCACAGGTTTGTCATTAATAATAAGCAAATTATCCTATTCACTGTGAATAAGTGCTAAAAGCAGGTTACTATCAGCAGTACACACCAGCAGAGAATGGTTTTTCATATAATAAATAGTGACAAAGACCGCAGCCTCCACACACACACACACAATGTAGAAAAAAACAGAGGGAGTTAAATTGGAAAGGGAAGATATTTAGGAGAAGGAAAGTCTTATTAAAAAAAAAACTGAAAAGAAACTCTGGACAAACAGAGCGGTGGCGTGTGGGAGAGGGAACATAAGACAATAATAAAAGCAAAATGGAGATGGTTTGTAAATAGTTTGGGGAAGCAAAGAAACTTCCCTGACACGTGAAGGGAGACAGGATCCCTCCAGCGTTCCATCACAGGCACAGCAATCAATCCATCAATGTAAAGAGGGAGAAGGAAGGAAAACAGCTAATTCAGTAAAAAGTAAACCAACATTGTGAGACATTAAAAGTTCTCTGCTAACTCATCTTTTACAACAACCTTGTGGCTGCCCCATTTATTTTGAATTCGAAATACACTTTTTATAGGAGGAATAGTTGACTTTCTCCCCTTGAGAAATATTAGTCAAGGTAATAAAATACACTCCAGTTTACATTCTGCCACACGTATTTATTATGTACAAAATTTGTATAGGGCACTCTCAGAGACCCGTGGCCAGAAAGGTGAATATTCACAATTTATGGAGGGGATAGAGGGTCAAAGTGACTGTGAGATCCACAGTGAAATTATGGGGGGAAATGGCCACGGCAGGAACTGAAGACAGAAAACACAGTTCAGCAGGGACTAGATGAGGGTGAGAAAGACTTTACAAAGAGGGGATAACATTTCAGCAGCTGAGTGGAATTTCACCTAGAGAGAAAAGGCAAGAAAAAATAATGCAAATAAAGGTAAGAATACTAAAACTGTCAGGACGTTTTAAAGAATACATATAGTTACAAGGGGGGCCGAAGGCTGTAATGGAACACACGGTGATGAAAGCAGGCTGTGGCCGTCCCTAAATGACATTCTTGAAAATTTAGACTTCGTTTTATATGCCATACAAATTTTACAAACGCTTTTAAGCCAGAAAGCAAAATTGAAATGAAGCTCTTGGCTGTGGTTATTTTGTATGTTTATTTTTTGTTTTGTTTTATTTTGCTCCCAAATGTGCCAGGCAGAGAGGCGCATAGTAGCTGCTCAATAAATATTCTGGGGATGATTTTTGCAAACATGAGTTAAAAAGCATGGTAAGATCTGGTTTTAGTGAATGAATTATAATGAAAGATGGGTGGTTTACATTCCTATTGGTTTTTCTTGGTTCCTTCAAAACAAATCCTAACTTAAAAGCAAATAATCCAATAAATCAGTAATTACTTAAAACTAATGATGTTAGGAATTCATAAGGGAATCGTGACAATGTTCACAAAAAATGAAAAACAAAGGAAAGCTATATTTATTAATAAAGTATCAAATATTAAATAATAATTTCTGGTTGAATAATCTTTGAAAGTGTGTGACCATTTTCAGTGAGAGTGGATGACGACGCATAATTTTTAAACTTACATTTTTCTGTGATTGCTGTTCTCACATCTGAACTGGAAGCTTTATTTTTCAAATTCTGAGCCAGTGTAAAAACAAAATCAAGCTGAGGATGGCGCTGTTCTAAGTCGGCCTTTGTGATCTGTTTAAGAAGAAATGATTATTAACACAGGTCAACAGGCCATACAGTAGGAATACTAATGACGCAAATCTGGTATGCTGACATCAAAAGCTGTTGTTTTCTCCTATCGGTAATGTTGGAGAAAGTGCAGGATTTGGAGTCAGAGGTCCTAGGTTCAAATCTCAGCTCTGACACTTATCATCTCAGTCACCACATAAGGCACTTCCCCTCTCTGTGTTTTTTGTTTTCACAAAAGGAAATAATAAAATACTTACAGCTCAATTATATCAAGTCTGAAAAGATTAAATGAAGAAAATCCCTTTAAAAAACAAAAAATGGTCTGAAAACACTAGCAGTGATTTCTGCAGATGATGCCTTGCATTATCTGTCCTACGTCAGATAGGGACACAAACTAATGTCACCTACAGGGATGGGGGTGAGGTATAAGAAAAATGCTAATTGGAATAATTACAAATTAAATAATTTTAGACGTGGAAAACTGCTGATCTAGAGTTTATCTCTTAGTACTGATAAACAGGGGAGAAAAGTTAATAATATCAGGGAAATGCTGTGTTTTAAGTACAGAACTAATAAATAGACATAAAGATTACAAAACCCAATTTCCAATAGGTATAAATATTATAGCAAAGATTCTCTCTCCCAGCTCTTCTCCTTTATGAATTCACTAATTTTGCAGACTTCAATTACTCCCACAGTGTCAAATGTTATTACTAAATGGATTATTCACAACTTCTACTCCTGCATCCCAGAGAGACGTGTCAATGAATGCTGATCATTTCCTTCTAAAGGGCATAAGAACCTCTCAACACATCATATCCAAAACTCAGTCAATCAAACTCTCATCCACATTTCATTTCTTCTCTTCCTTATTTCCACTAATTGCAGCAGCAGTACCTTAGCCACTCAGAAAGGCCTCTTTTCCTTGAGTTAAGCATCTCTTGCACTATTCCCAGTCTTTCTACTAAAGTACAGCACTGCTACCATCAGTCTCCAGCCACAATTTTAAAAAGAAAAAGGGGGTCCGGCCGAGTGGCGCGATGGTTAAGAGCTGGCTTGGGACGCCAGAGGGCCCCGGTTCAGATCCCACATGTGAGGGCCAGTGACACTGCCCTCCACAGCTAAGATGCTGAACAACAGCTCAACCTGGAGCTGGGCTGCTGTGAGTTGCCGGCCACAGCGTAGGCCTCAGCCCCTGCTGCAGCGGGTTGCCATGGGCTACTGTGTGTAGCCAGCAGTCAGTGTAAGCGGCCAGCAGCCGCCGTGAGTGGCCGTCCAGAAGCCGGCGACTGATCTGCCTCACCCCGGAAGAGCACAATGATGGTGCCAACTTGGGCCAGTGAAGAAATGTCCTCCACAACTAGATTGAAGAACTAAAGGACAGCAACTTGTCTGTTTCCCTTCCCCCAATTCCCCAGCACTGTTCCCCATCCCCCCAATTCCCCAATAAAAATCTTTAAAAAAAAAAAGAAAAGAAAAAGGGAACAAAGATGCTTGCCCAGTACTTACGGGCTAAAAGTTCGAAAGGCTTTGCTAAGTTCACAGGGTGAACTTAAGCTGCCTTTGCTACTTACTTCCCACCACACTTCTTTAGTACACGAGTGTTGACCCGCCAGCCCTCATGCTCCCCCCCCACCTCATGTTTTCATTCACTTGGATCCCTCTATCAGGAACGTCACTCACTTTGTCTCTAGATGTCAAAATCCCACATAGTCTGCCTTCTCGCACTATGGAGGTAACTCCCATCCTGGTTCAGTCTCCACAGCAGGTCACCTGCACGTGCCTGTGGCTTTTAGTACCCTCTGCTTTGCCACAAAGACTTGTCTACTTAATGCATTCAGTGTGTCCAGCTCCATGTGGGCATATTTATAACCTGGTGATAAATCCGGTACCTGCCTCACAAGGTTGTCAAAGAACTGAAGGAAGTACTACGTGTAAATTAGTTAGAAAAATACCCACCCCACGTAGGAAAGTAACAAAAGTTAGCAACAGCTGCTGTTATAACTTCGTGGTTCATTCCCAACTTCTATCTGGTATATTCTTTTTAGTATCTGTATACAACACACAGCCCAGGACCTAGTACACACTGAATATAAGAAAATAACTTGACAAATTGATTCTACAATAGATGGTATATATATGCTAAAAAATTATAGTCAGGAGCACTCACTGCTAATGTCAGCAATTAAACAAATAAGCTCATTATGAAATATAAGTTGAAACACACTTCAGGAAATTATCCTCCATCACACAGGCATTAAATGTAACACTAATTTATATTTATAATGATGCAGCTAGATTTATAGTACCAGTTTTGATGTTAAAAAATATACTTAGTCTACAGCTCTATTGGTAAAACAGTTCTTCCCAAAACAGTCCAAATGCAAGAAAAGCTTTACTCGTCGGAGCTAGCAAGGGACAGATGAAGCAAGCTGGCTGTTTGACAGATAAAGAATTTTTTAAAGCTCATTCTTCCCAGAGTTTAGGATAAACAAAGGGGACCCCAACAGCTCGCCCACCCATGTTTTGTGGTTTTCCACAAGCCTTTGCTCTGTGCACCTACTTTCATTCTGGAAACCGTCTTATTGATCTCTTCTATATCCCCGACGGTGACAATGTTGGACTTCAGCATCTGGTCGATCAATACCAGCCAGTCGGCTAGTTCTGTTATCGTTTTATCCAGATCGGCAGGCATTGAAATTTCCAAAGTTCGAGGACACTGGACAGGAATATCTGACGCAGAGGATGCTAGCACCACCTTTTGGACACTAGGATGAGCTGAAATTAAAAAGGGAGCAAAGGATTAACACATCACAGGATATTCTGACTGTGGTGGTGTAACGGCAACATGTGTATGTGTATTCATGCACAATTTACTTTAAGTAAAAAAATGGTAGGGGGAGGTGGTCTTTCAGACTGAAATGGCAATGGTATTCCTGTTAGTATCTATGTCTCTGGTAGCCGTAATGCCAATGAAACACATGGTCTCACAATATTGCAGGGCAGCAATAACTCAGAAGTAACTAACACTGATTCCCTGAGAAAATAAAGTAAGAAATACATCAACTGTGAGAAAATTAGGAGTGGTATTTTATTTTGTCAAGATGTTTACCTTAATAATAAAGCCAATATACTCATGGTTTTCTTTTCTTTTTCATTTAACTTTATAACTTGAGCATCAGTTATTCTTAATACACATCATTGTGAATACCTATGTAGTAATCTACATACATATTCACTGTGAATTACCCCTTTTCCTATAGCTGGATACTGGATTGCTCTTTAAATTTTACTTTAAAAAAAGAACTTGCAAGGAAAAACTTTTTTGAGGACAGTATTTTGCACATTTCTGATCACCACTTTGGTATAGATTTCCTAAAGTAGAATGGCTGGTTCAGAAACTACGAAAAAAGTTAATGTAAGAAATAAGTTAATACTTATTGCTAATTTGCTTTCCTCAAAAGTTGGAAATTGAGACTTGCAACAGCAGTGTGTGGAACTATAAACACTGCATCCACACCAACAATATATATCTCAATGGATAAACACGCAGCTTTCACCAAGGCCTTCATTTAATGGTTTTCTGATTATCAGTGAGAGTAAATATTTTTCATGTGTGTTAACCTAACATGGTATAATTTATAACTGTCTGTATTCTTTCTCTGCTTCCTTATCGATTTGCATGAACTCTTTTTACAGTAAAGATGAACCGTTGCCATATTGCTGAAAATGGATTTTTCAATGCCTTTTTTTTTTTTTTAAACATTTATATGTTATTAAACTTGGGTGATCAAGTCCATAAGTCAGTCTTGGGAGATTGTTTTCCCAGAACTTTTACAGTTAGAGATTCTTATCTTTTTCAAAGATTGAATAAATATTTTCTTTCTCTCATTTTTTTGTTTGTTTGCTTTTGTCTTGATTTGTTTTTATTGATGGGAGGCTGGTTACCGTTTTTCTTTAGTTTTATACAAGAGGTAGTGGAATTAATTATTAAACCCATCTGGAACCTACATCAGCATATGGTATATGAGATGAGGCTTAAAGGATTTTCTACAAAATAGTTAATTTGTTAATTCAGCACAACTTGAATTTAAAAACCCCAACAGGTTTGTGTGTAACTTGACAAAATCACATATACAAATTTCTGAGTTTAAAATTAATATAGAAAAGGGCCAAAAATGGTCAACAGAGGGAGAGCAGGGGAGGGCGTTTCAGAGACACTGCGGGGAGTGGGGAGCAGCTGTGGTGCCATAGCCTGCACTCTAATCCACACGAGGAGAGAAGGAAAGCAACAGTGAGACAACTGCTCTTTCTCCACATCTAAGTGATCAGCATTTGTCTGCAAACAGCATCCCTGCGATGGAAGACTCTTCTAAATCCCTTTTCCCACCTGGTTCCAAGGATATCTCAACTTTGTTTACAGCCATAATCAACATCTCATTACACACCCCTAGACCATGCTGGCATTACGGGTTATAGCTGAATTTCTGAAAAACCACAGGTTCCCCATTTCCCCACCTTGCTCATCCCTTCCCTTCAGCAGGCGTTACTGAGGTCCAAGTCCCACTCCAGTCCCAGGAAAGGCAAAAAGTGTTATCTATCACGCGCGCCTTGCACACGCAGGGAGTCAAATATGCCTTGGGTTTAAAGAAGGCGTTCTTTTCAAATAATTGAAAGTAGAATAACAAATCACAATTGCATTTGGGTTTTAAGCAAGTTTCTCTAATTCACATATGATGCTCATAATCATAATATTTTCCTGTATTCATTTTTAAAATCGTTAAGGAATAAACTGTATCTTACCAGCAATTCTTGTATGAGAAACAGAACAGGGCTCCTGCATGCATTCCTTCAGTGCGCTAGGCACTTCTCTGCATACCTATACATCGGGCCAAAGAGAAAGAGAAGAGTACTATATAAACAAAGAGGACATATTTACAAAAGAGGGAGTGTTACTCTAAATGACAGCTCTGCTGCCTTTCTTCCTCCTTGACGCCTAAGCTTCGTCTCCACCTTCACTACCCATTGCACCTTGCTTGAGCCCCCACTCCACTGACATGACTATCAAGGACGCCATCCAGTCCTTAGCTGGCCTGGCCCTTTGCAACATCTAATGCTGTCACTCCTCTACCCGTGCATTCTGTGAGTTCTGCACGCCTGACTTGACTCCTCCCTCTGACTGATCTTCCGAGTCTTTCACCAGCCTGCTCTCCTCTGCCCATTCATCAAGTGCCAACATTCTACAGGGTAGGTTTTTCGTTCTTTTGACCATTGACACGGGCCTCTCTCCCTGGGTCCTGGTTTCTAATGGTTTCATTTACCACACAGAGTTTTAAGAGGCTGAAGACTCCCTAAAATATATCTTTAGTCTGGCTCTCTGTCAGGCATGTCCAAATCTGAATTCATTATCCGTCTCCCTGACAACCCTTTCACAAAGTTGTCTAATGATTCATCCATCTTTCCAGATCAGTTATCCTGATCTGGACAGTGGGCTTTGCTCAGAGGAGTTACTTGATATCCGAATATCCTAAGGATATCCATCCTTAGGATCACTCCATCCATCTCTACAGTTCAGCTGTAGTGTGTGCTTTCAAAATGTAATTTTCTCCTGCTTAAAACCCATCTATAGCTAACCACCACCCTCAAGGTGGTGAACTGCTCTGAAGACGGAGCTCAAATTCCTTGTGATGCATGGTGAGGCCTCTAGGATTTGGATTCTGCAAGCAAGTCTCGCCCTTCACTTCATATTGAGCTACTTCATACTGAGCTACTTCCAGGACCCACATGCACTGTGCTCATTCGTCTCTTCCTGTCCCTTTCACTTGCTCCTTCTCCCCCCCATTCTTCATCTGGCCAAGTCTTTCCATCCTGTATGAATTAGCTTGAATATGACCTCTTCCACAAAATCTTCCATGGTTATCCCCCAAAGTCAGCTAGGAACCCTACTTTTATGTCCCTGCAGATGCCTCTGTTATCACTGCTTTTCTACTTGTCTCACCACGATAAACTCCTTGGGCTAGAAGGAGTGACATACTCTTTGCTGTATTCCTAGTTCTTAAAATGGTGAGTGAATAAATATATGAATGAAAGAAATTCCCAAGAAGTATTTCCCAAAGTGTGTTTGTTGAAATACTCTGCACAATAAGCATTGCTTGGTCTTGGACATTCATAATTGACCTAGGTAGAGTAAAATATATTAATTCCTGGGAAAAAGGGAGCATTGGCTTTATCTAACATACTGCTCCCAAAGCATCCATCACGTCCTAGTCTACACAATAGCCAATGGCATGCCTTCTGTTAAATAAATCCATGTGCTCTGATTGACTATCCACAAGCCAAGTCTGGCATGTTGAACACGGGGCCAACACGTCTGGAAAGAGTGTAAGGATGAGACAGCAGCAGATGAAGTCAGAGAGGGAACAGCAAGCCAGAACAGGCAAGGCCTAAAGTCACAGTAAGGACTTTGGCCTTTACTCTGAGTGAGACAGAAAACCATTAGTGGGGTTTTGCTCAGAGGAGTTTACTTGATCTGAATTACATTTTAATAAATAGTTTCACTGCTATGTTGAGAAGAGATTAACAAAGGGCGAAGGAGGCAACAGGGAGACCCGTGAAAATGCCTTTGCAGTGAGCAAAACAGGAAATGATGGTGGTTTGAAACAAGTTAGTGGAAATAGGGGTAGTGAGAAGCAGTCCAATTTATGACATGTTTCAAACCTAAGAAAAGTTGAAAGAATTGCAGGGAATGCCCATGTGCCACCCAATATCTACAATTGTTAAAATTGTGCTATGTTTGCTTCATCCTGTATCTAGTTATCTAGCCATCCATCAAATAGGTATGTATCTTGAAGGTGAAGCTGATAACAGTGACACCAATATTTGGGTTGTTTTTTTCGTTTTTTTTTTAATTGAGATATAAGTCATATACCATAAGATTGAGTCCAAGGTTCTGAGTCTAAACACTAAGGATATAATTACCAATAGCTGAGGAGACAGGAGTATGTTAGTGCACGGCTGGGAGGTGGAGAGCAGGGGCTCAGCTTTGTATGCCACTTTGAGATGCCTGAGCAGACATCCAAGTAGAGCTGCTGAGCCCGCAGATGTGCGTGCCAGTCCAGAGCGTGAAGACAGGTGGAGGAGAGACACAGGTGTGAGTCATGCGTAACAGTGACTCATCAAGACAGAAATTCCAATCAGAGAGGCTAGATCAATAAAGCACCTACATCATTAGATACAGGTTGGCAGCTACCATTTTTAGGGGACTGAGGAGGGAGAAAATGACTGATATGGGGTCCATCGAAACCAGGGGCACAGACATATCCAATGTCCCAGACAGACCTCACACTCAGATATGGTATGTCCCAAACCAAAATAAATAGAAATCTATGATTTTATCTGCCTGTTACCCTTTCAACAGCAAAGAAAGTAATGGTATGAGAAAAATGACCTTATTTTATTCTTATTTGTAGCCATTACATTCCACCCGGAACCTAGTAAATATATGTTGAATGAATGAAATCATTAAAAATACACATACATATATAAAAAGTCAAGTGCAACATCAGGAAGTGTAAATGTGTTCATTTTCAGAGTATAATTATTTGCATTTTATTTCCTAATTCTAATACATATTCATTATTTAATGTAGTATATAACATATAAATCCCCTAGGCCAAAAAAGTACATGCAAAGTAAAAAGCATTCTTTGAGAATATATGCGTCTGCCCATGACAGATGCAAAACGCTGATAATTACAAGCATTAGTAAGCATTAGTAAAATGCGACTATATTTCGACAGCCTTAAAACAGTCACATGATCCCGCTTCTTTGGCAACAAAAGCAATAAACATGAGAAAGGTATTACGGTAATTCTGAATGCACACCTTATTCCATGTCGAATTTATAGTTCTCAAGTTTTCTGAAATGTTTTCTCTTTCGTGTAAACTCAGGCTTTTATCTGAAAGCATGTCCAACTCAGTTCTATTCAGCCATTTGAGTTTTTCACCTTGTACGTCCATCTCCTGGGTTAAGCACTGAAGATGCGGGAAGAACGGTGCGGTTAGAGGGCGGTCACACTGGGGAAAGCTCAAGAACTGTATTAGC